AGTCACTTAATCCAACGCCTCATTATATAGATGGCAAAATGAAAGCAAGATACCTTGAATAGGTCAGTTACACAGCTCACCCATGGCAGAGCCTCCTGGACATACTTTAACCATGTGCCTCTGGTACACTTTCTATAGGGTGTGAGACTCAGACTAGGCTGCCTCCTGTGGGCTTTTATACAAAGGTAGATGATCTTTGATCCTATCTATAGTAATAGAATGCGGCAAAAGACCTTAGGAAGCTCAAAAAAGAAGAACTTGGAAAATGACCGAATAAGCACAGCTGAGATCCTAGAGAGCAAAACATTTCCATAATCAGGTAAGAGGTGTTTAGGACCAAGATTATAAAAGTTAGAATGGAAAGAAACAGTTGGAGGATGTTTTTACGTTGTTACAATCCCCATTTGACTAGTGGTGTGGGGTAGCCACAAATGGAAGGACTATCCAAATTGTTGCTAAGTCTTTAATTTAGGCATAGAGTTTATTCTTACAGAGATAGGCTTCTGTCCTCAAAGATATGTGCAATTTAAAATCGACGAGCACACTATGTATATGGAGGATTTCAACAGTATACACAATTTACTGGACTTTGTGATTTGAATATAACCGTGGAAGCACTGTTACTAGAACTCCAGAGATAGTCTGTGAAGTTTCAAATGCCCACACCACAATATATAAAGGCATCTGGCAGTAATGACAAAAGACTGACCCAGAACATTTCCCTGACCTAAAAAGAAAAACTTTGAATTAGGGCAGGGGTGGGTAGCCATGAAGAGACAGGGTAGAGTTTGCGCTCTTGCTCGTCTGGCTGGGAAAATGCTTTACTGTATACATAATCGACTTCGTACTACACTAGGGCTCAATTAGAGAGGGCCCATCCCATTCTGTTTCACTCCGTTTTGATCTGTAGTCAGCTGCGGAGTTATAGATGAAGTGACAAGGATGGTATCTTGATTGTATCCAGCTGCTTGGAATCACTCAAGGGCTGAGAGGCCCTGCATGAGGAACAGCGCTCACTAAAGGCTCTGAAGCAACCTGAAATTCAGGACACCTCTGATACCTTTTAGAGCAGCATAGTTCAGCATCTGACTCCTTGTCACCAAATTAAGTCCCTGAGAGAAATCTGATAAGTGACTTCAGCCAACAGTAAGAGGACTGAAATCTTAACAGCATTGGACTCGACTACTGAGCCAATAATAATAATGTTGTTATTATGACTGCAGAAGAGGGGCTTGTAAAGAAGAATCCCTAGGGAAAGCAATCAACTTTCTTTGCATGGAGCAGAGAGCTGTGTTGACTCAAAGTAAGCAAGGGGAGAAAAGCAACTTCCGTCTTCAGCAGAAGTGCCAACCGAATTGGATGTCCCCTCCCCATGCCCTGCACCTTATCTTTCACTTTGGCATCTCTGGTGTTTAGTTATGTGTGCTTGGGGCCCTTCAGAAATCTCTTTAACTCCGTGAATCAGTGGTCATGGCATTGATGTGACTTGAACAGGCAGGTGCTTGGTGCTAAGAAAAGGAAGCCGGCAGCACATTTCATGGCATCTGCCCAGGCCCACAAAGCAAACAGAAGTTATGGCTCACATACGGTGTTGCTGCTCTGGGCTCTATAAAACTGTAGTAGTATCGTATTATTTTAATCTGCTGAAATGCAGACTCCGAAGTAGAGAGAACACAGCAGCAGCATTACACATCTGAGAAAATGTTTGACATGGATTCATTTGTCTGCAGATATGACGATGCCTGTGGTCGATTAGCTCTGTTGGTTACAACATGGTGCTAATGAGGCCAAGGTTGTGGGTTTGAGAGCCCTGTTAGGTGAGCTGGTTTTACACAAATGAAAGCTCTTTTCATGATTCCAGTCCACGCCCAAGACCTGGGTCAGACATTCCGTAAAAGCATGGAGATGTTCACAGGGAGGACTGGACAAGACAATCCAAGTGTCTCAGCAAAAATGCCCCTTGACCTGCTCCGGGAAAAGCAGGTCACAACATGTGCTTTATTGAGGAATTGGGACTGTGATCTTCACACACCATGGATATCACGTTATTATTCATGGTAACTGCTGGTCAGTACTGCTGCAGGCTTCTTTGGCTCTGGTTGTGAAGAAAGGAATTTTTGGTTCCTTTCATTCTTGGCTTTTTAGTCACTGCGATTCTGCCCATTCGTGCGTTAGACAACTGTGTGTGGAATGTTGTTACGTGCCTGGCACTGTCCTTTGTGCTTAGGATACCACACTGTATAAAATGATCTCTGTCCACCTTAAGTTTAAATTTTATAAGAGGGGCCGGGCGCGGTGGCTCAAGCCTGTAATCCCAGCACTTTGGGAGGCCGAGGCGGGTGGATCACGAGGTCAAGAGATCGAGACCATCCTGGTCAACAAGGTGAAACCTCGCCTCTACTAAAAATACAAAAATTAGCTGGGCATGGTGGCACGTGCCTGTAGTCCCAGCTACTCAGGAGGCTGAGGCAGGAGAATTGCCTGAACCCAGGAGGCGGAGGTTGCGGTGAGCCGAGATCGCGCCATTGCACTCCAGCCTGGGTAACAAGAGTGAAACTCCGTCTCAAAAAAAAAAAAAAAAAAAAAAAAAAAAATTTATAAGAGGAAAATACATAATAAGTAACCAAGATAACAGTGCAATCTAAAGTTTGGTAAAGGAAAGGATGGGGTTGGGGGGTGTGGCGAGGTGTGGCTGATTGGGGGTGCTGTTTGCCTCAGCAAGGAAGGTTCGAGAAGCCCTCTCAAAGTAGTCGACATTTAAGCAGGGACCTGATGGATGAGAAGGACCCAAGCGTTTGGAAGAGCTGGAACACTCCAGCAGAAGAAACAGAAAGAGCAGAGGGCTGAAGAACAGAAGGGCCTCTGGAGTGTGACGGGACACAGTGAGAGAAGAGGCGAAGGGGACGGGCCCTCTGTGACATGTGAGGAGTTCAGATAGTATTCTCAGTGCAGTAGGAAGCCATTTTCTGTTTTGTTTTGAAGGCGGGACCTTTCTTTAAATATTTTGGGAGTGATGTTATAGATTGAATTGTTGAAGTCCTAATCCTCAGTACCTCAAAATGTGACTTGATTTGGAAATCGGGTATTTTCAGAGGTTAATCAAGTTAAAATGTGGTCAGGGTGAGGAGCCCGGATTCACGGACTGATGTCCTTATCAAAAGGGGAAATTTAGACACAGAGATAGACTTGCATAGAGGGAAGATGGCCTAGGGAAGGTGGCCTTGTGAAGATGGAGGGTTGGAGTGAGGCATCTATAAGCCAAGCAATGCCAGAGATTGACAGCCAGCCGCCAGGAGCTGGGAAGAGGCAAGGAAACATTGTTCGACATGTTTCAGTGGTTGCATGGCCCTAACAACACCTCGTTTTCAGATTTCTGACCTCTAGAACTTAAAACTAATTTCTGATCTAAGTCCCACAGTTTGTAGTTCTTTGTTAACAGCAACCCTAGGAAACTTAACATGGCAGAGGATCCTAACACACTGGCTCTGCCCTAGGGAATGGCACGAGGTGTCCTTTCTGGACTCAGCAATACTCGAGTGTTGGGGAAGCTTCTATTTGCTCTGGCATATGATCATATGATCTTTATATATATTTAGGGAAATTGATGATGAAAATAACTCTATTAAAATAGGTATCAAATAAGATAGAAGGCACTGGTTGAATTACCCTGTGCAGAATACCCTAATATTCTTTTAGGAATGATCCTTTTAGGGATGCTGTGCAAATGAGGCTTGGGAAGGGCAAGAGTGGCAGGAAGGTGACAAGTTAGAAGGCTAGCACAGTAATCTTTGTGAGTGACGGTGGCGATTTGGGCTAGAGGGAATGGCACTAGAGGTGATAGGAGATAGAACTAGAGCCAGCAGGACTCACTAATGGATTGAACATGAGGAGGGGAGGGAATAAAGGCTGAGTCTTAGCTTTTGGGTTTGAGCAATTGGCCGGATGATTTATTGAGATGGAGAAGATTGGGAGAGTGACTTGTCTGGGGATATGGAATCAAGAGTTATGTTTTGGCCATGTTAGGTTTGTTTATCCAGATGGAGATACTAAGTGGTTGGCTATCTTAGGAACGTTTGGGGCTAAATATAAATTTAGAGGTCACCAGATTATTAATGGTATTTAAAGTGATTGAAGCTAGATGAGATTACTTAAAGAAAGAGAGTTTGAACAAGAGGATAGGGCCTAGGACTGAATTCTCAGGAACTGCATTATTTAGAAGTCTGGTGATGGTTGAGGAATTAGCAACAGAGTCTGAGAAGAGGCATCAAGACCAGCCAGCAAATTGTCACACTCATTCATGATATGGATCTTTTCAAAGTCAAACTAAATTACACAGAAATACGTGGGAGAAGGTATTGGAAGTTCCTTATCCCCAGCATACCCAATTCTGCTTAATCCAACAAAACGCTGTGTAAGGACCTTTCCAGATATGGAAATCAGTATTTGTTTTCATTGTGTTGCAGATTACAGAATCAGACAGCCCTTCTATCTTTTAGGCTTCCAATAGGTCATAAGAATGGGTGTATGTTCAAGAGAAATAGATGTGTTTTTTCGTTTGTTTTTTGTATTTTAAAGAAGTGGAGACTTTATCATAAGTTTTTACCATAATCACCAATTTAATACAAATCAGGGCAGTTGAGTTGCAGGGTTCCATTTATCCTTCATGTTGTGAATTCATTAAGAATGGAACCTATTTCATTAATCATATGTTAAGAGATTGCCTACCGTGGCCCAACTCAGTAAGCTGTTACCCCCACATGACTTGAAATTCCCAAGCACATACAGGAAGATTGGGAGGAAGTCAGAATCAGCATCTGTCTTTGACTATTGGCAGAATAACTCACACCTGTTTGATGGAACATCTCTAGAAGCCCATTATGACCTTCTTAGGTTATAATTGTTTGCATCTAGGAAGTCTGTTGATACCTGTTTGGATAACTCAGCACCGATTGATTGAGGTCTGAACGGGGGCTTGATTGTTATTGTGTGTCTGTTCTTAGGTCTGGCGGGAATTTCCTGACCGGTTGGTGGGCTACCCGGGTCGCCTGCATCTCTGGGATCATGAGATGAATAAGTGGAAGTATGAGTCCGAGTGGACGAATGAAGTGTCCATGGTGCTTACCGGGGCAGCTTTTTATCACAAGGTAAGGGGGCACAGTCTTGGGGCAAGTTGACAAAACTGAGAGAATGATACACATTTTATCTGATCCAGTTTAGTTTTTCATACCTGCCGAGAGGGCTTAGAAAAGCCATATTGTGTGACAGTATTTTACAAATAAGGCTATCCTTTTTCTAATTATAAAAGTAATGCATGTGCAGAGCAGAAAATACGAAAATACGTAAAATAGAATGAAGAAAAGTTAATTGTAATTCTGTCACTTAGAGATAACCATTTTATCGTTTAGATGCTTATTTCCAGCTTGCCATTTATTTATTTACTTAATTGTACATACACACAGACAGTTGTAAATATTCTCATTAGCCTGCTTTCTTCATGTATTGTATTCTGAGGCTTTTCTCATGTCATTAACATTTGTTCATAAACTATTATTTCTTAGCATAATTAAGATACCATTATATTAATGTTTTAGAAGTCATGTATAACTATTTTACTATCTCAGGTATTTCTTTCTGAATTTCTGCTATTTTAGATAATGCTTAATATCTGATGTTAGTGATTGATATCCATTTTCATAACTGTTTGTACTCATGACCATTGTGATAGATTCCCAGAAATAGAATTATTTTATCAAAGGGAATGAATATTTTGAGTTTTTTAAAGGTATATGCACATACATGTATATATACACATATACAACATGTACATATATATGTTGTCTGTGTATATGTGTGTGTGTATGTGTCTGCTGGTTTCAGTATTGTTTCTGTGAGTTTACACTCCCACCAGCAAAATATAAAGCTGTTTTACATGCCTTTTCTTGCATGAAATATGTTTAATAGAAAAGAAATTAGCAATTTTAATAAATAAAAGAATTGTGTTGTTTTAACTTTGATTACTAGTAAGATTGAAATTCCGTTTGTGTATTTATTAGTCTTTTATACTTCTTCTCTTCTGGGAATCATCACTTCATGGTTTTGTGTCTTTTTATTACGGAGAGATTGGGGAATATGCATTTGATTTTAGAATATTGAGTTCAATAGTAGGATGTTCCCTGGGAGTTAATGGCTCAATTAAACAATAATAACTTGTCTGTTGTCAGCAGTAGCATAAGAAACTGATGTCAGAAAAAAGGTCTGTTCAGCTCAACACAGTTCATTTAATTTAGCTAAATTCATATCGATTGTGTGTTGTTAGCTCAGCATTGCTGCCGTCAGTTTTCAGGTCTCTAGGTCCAGGAATGGTTTTTTATTTATTTTTTTATTTTGCAACAGGCAAATGAAAAAACAAAAACTGAGGTTTATGATTCATGGGATTTATGGTAGTAGACTATGTATGCTTTTCTTTTGACCCATTAATTTCTACACTATTTCATATATATGGTAGTTTTAGAATTGCCTCATTTTTCTTCTACTTTAAAAAGCACACACTTTGGAAGAAGAATGACCATATTGAACATGCTTGGTCACTTGACCAAAGGCATTCTAATACTTTCTTTTACCCTTCCTATTAATATGGCCCTGTGCTTAATCTTATGAGAGAAATTTTGTCCCCATGCCTTGGCTATGCTGCCCCTTATTTATCAGCCAAAGGGAACTGCTATTTTTTAATATTTCTTCTTTCTGTCTCACTTGACAGTATTTTAATTACCTGTATACATACAAAATGCCTGGGGATATCAAGAACTGGGTAGATGCCCATATGAACTGTGAAGATATTGCCATGAACTTCCTGGTGGCCAACGTCACGGGAAAAGCAGTTATCAAGGTAGGAGGTTCTGCTACTCACTTGCTTTGGGATCTTGGACAAGTATCTATTACCTAAGCCTAAGAAGTTCTTGTAACTATAAATTAAGTATAGGACTAGATAAACTTTAAGCTCTATTTTAGTTTAAGTTTCTATGATTGATGCGGTCACATTGGGAAATCAAAGCTAGGCTTTCACAATTTAAACACGTTTTCTTTTTTTATAGTTTCTTTAGTTGCAGTTTTTAACCTTCAGTATCAGAGATAAAAGCTATGATAGTCAATCTATAAATCAAAAACTTAAGTATATTCTCAAAGCTGATTTGGAATCTAGTTCTTTTAGTTAAAAGATGTAGTTTAAATTTTTCTTAAGGTAGCTTTTTTAAAAAAAATATATAGATGTTGAGAAAATAGTACACCTTATATAGTTATGTAATTGTAGTTATTCTAAACACAACAAATTTAATTGTTTTAAAATATCGATTACCAGTTTTTAAAAGTACCTTTCCCATAGCATATTAAAAGCTGAGAATACACAAAGATCCTATGGGAGGTCTTTGTATCTGTATAAGATGCCTATTTATTCCTCAAATTTAGACATTGCTCAAATAAGATCCCTAGATATGTAGAGAAGGTACACTTCTTTATATGAGTAGAATCATCTTGGTCTTTTTTCCTTCTAGATTAGAATTTCATGTGTGCAAATGGGCAATGCCAAGTTCCCTAGGAATCTGCCTAAAAAGCCAAATTCCTAGAGGAGCATATGCTGGAAGCATAGTATGGCATTACCCACTTATTCCTCATGCTGTTAGTTAATGAGAGAAGCCAGATTAAACCAAAGTGAATAGGGAAAGAGGAAAAATCACTCTCCGTGCTCACCAAACTTGCCTCAGTCCATACCCTGTCCCCCAGCTCTCTAAATAACTCAATGAACAGCTGACCACAAAAACAATTCAATAATGTAAATTGTGAGAGTTGTTTTTAAAGGACTACTCCCATTCCTAAATTTGCTTTTTTTTTTTAGACAGAGTCTTATTCTGTCACCCAGGCTGGAGCGCAATGGTATGATCTCGACTCGTTGCAACCTCTGCCTCCCGGGTTCAAGCAATTATCCTGCCTCAGCCTCCTGAGTAGCTGGGATTACAGGCGCCTGCCACCATGCCCAGCTAATTTTTATACTTTTAGTAGAGATGGGGTTTTGCCATATTGGCCAAGCTGGTCTTGAACTCCTGACCTCAGGTGATCCACCCACCTTGGCCTCCCAGAGTGCTGGGATTACAGGCATGAGCCACCAGGCCCGGCCCCAGATTTGCTTTTTAATACGCTTCAACATGTTTTTACCTGTGTCTGCACACTCTGGACAGTAACGCCCAGTGTCTCAATGCTTCTTCGCCTAGACTTAGTTATCTAGCTTTCTTTCCCTCCCATCTCTTCACTGTTTATTTATCTTCACTGGGTTGGGATAGCAGCTTCCCCTGAGTTTGCTAGAAAGATTGCTAGAAGTTTAAGGTTTGAGAGGGCAGAGGGGGATCAGGGAAAAAGATTCAGAGTATGAGGGATCATTCAATTTTTTTCTTAACTCGAGGGAATTACAAAATAACCTGGCATCTTCAAGAGCATGGTGCTGCCCATAGCATTTGCCATTAGCTGGAAGGAGGAGAAAGAGCGCCTGTTGGAACTAAGGTTATGGTGAAAGTTATGGGAAGCTGTATTTCATCGCCCTTATGGCTACAAGAACAAATGGTGTTTATACAAGGACCTTGGCAGTGAGAAAACAGTCATTAAACAGGAATTAAGGAGCTTGTCATCACCACTTCTTTCCAGTTACAGAAGGCAAAAGCCCTCCAAGCCTTTTTTATTGGGCCCTTGTGAGTTCTACTGTTGGCTGAGCCAGACAGAGTTGAATGGAGGAACGGCGAGGTGTGTGTGTGTGTGTGCACGCGCATGTAACATCTCAGCTTACAACACAGAGGAATGCAGTGTGGTGTCACAGCATGATTTTAATGTCCTTGACACTGACAGCCAGGTATGTTTTTGTCTCCCTCTGGCAGGTAACCCCACGAAAGAAATTCAAGTGTCCTGAGTGCACAGCCATAGATGGGCTTTCTCTAGACCAAACACACATGGTGGAGAGGTAAGTGAGCCTCCAACCAAAAGTGTGCCTTAGCCTCTGATCTCCTTTTCCTGCCTTAGGCCTGTTTATGGGACTTTGTTGGAGATATAAGGACAGCAGCTGGTAGCCATAGTCACCTCCATGTGCACTGTGGGAATTGGGTTAGTTCAAGCCCAGGTCACCCAAAGAATTAATTTGGAATACTACTCACTCAATTTGTAATGGCTGGAAGGGTCTTAAAAATATAGCTGGCCTTAAACTCCAGAAGACAGATTTTCCATGTGGACTAAGCAGTTAACCATCTACAGTCATTTGAGTGGAAGCTAGTTAATTCCAAGGAAATACTGGATTATTTTTCAGGGTAATAGCTCCATGTTATAGTAAAAGCTTGATTAGAAAGAATTAAACCAAGCCCCCCCAGAGACAAATTACCTTTGCTGACACTGTGGAAATGCCTGCCAAGAGCAGGATTGAAGGCAAAGCCCTTATGTTACAGACAGAGGGGCAAGAGAGCTCTAAAATACTCTTTTTATTTCAATTCAAGTCAGTTCCTCCACCAGCACACCTTTGTGTGGAATGTAATCCTAGGCCTTGTAGGTAAGTGTAAAAGGAGTGGGAGATGTGTATCTGAGTCTTCCCTTAAGACTGTACTAGACCTAATAGCTCTCACTTGTACCCGCAAAGTCCCCAAGCTTTAAAATGCCTGAATTAAATCTAATACTTTCAGAAGCAGTTCTTTATGCAAGACAGCAAGCTCTGACATCCCAGTAGCACTTGTCAGGGGACCAAAATGCACTCAGATAATGATATAGTAGCCTTTTGCAATATCTAGTTCAGATTTCACAAATCTCATGTGCCTCTGCTTGCAGAATTCATTTCTGAAATCTATCAGCTATATTAAAATTCTTCAAGCCTGAGAATTTTTGTGTGTATGTACAGAGTTGGCCTGGATTCTATAATATTTTACTCCTTTTTACCCTCTAAGTAATCTCTTTATCTTCTTCATACGTAAACATTACCCAGATGATATGACCTTTACCAGCTATTCATGTGAAATAATATACTATCACTGGCATCATAAGTATTTCACAGTTAAGCATAGCGACATTCACTGTCATAGCTCCTTTGGAAGAGACCCAATTGGACTTCTATTAGAGTACATGAAATTGTTATTTAAACCTACCTCATTGTCTACATTTGAGAAAGATTCATAACAGCAAGCTAAGTGGTTATTATTTGGGCTGAGTTAAAATGGTGAGGATATATGGTCCAGGAAAAGAAGTATAGGGAGAAAAGCTGACCTGATGATGGCCTTGAAGTTCATGTGGAGGCTAAACAACTCCTCTAGCACAATGATATCTTAACAAATGTAAAGAGGTTTAAAATTCAGTGAGGACTGGGTGTGATGGCTCATGCCTGTAATCCCAGCACTTTGGGAAGCCAAGGTGGGTGGATCACCTGAGATCAGGAGTTCAAGACCAGCCTGACCAACATGGTAAAACCCCATCTCTACTTAAAAAAAAAAAAAAAAAAAAAACTACAACATTAGCTGGACGTGGTGATGCACACCTATAATCCCAGCCACTCGGGAGGCTGAGGCAGGAGAATTGCTTGAACCCAGGAGACAGAGGTTGCAGTGAGCTGAGATCATGCCACTGCACTCCATCCTGGGCAACAAGAGCAAAACTCTGTCTAAAAAAAAAAAAAAAAAAATGCAGTGGGAGAGATTTAAGTTAAATATAATTATTATTAAATAATGATGTGAGTAACTAAGCTATGGAGTGAGTAACTAAGGGAGATATAGAGGCTTTCTCTTTGGAAGATTTTTTTTTTTTAAGAGAAAGGATCTTGCTCTGTTATGCCGTTATATAATTATGGCTCACTGCAACCTAAACTCCTAGGCTCAAGTGATCCTCTCATCTCAGCCTCCTCATCTGGTACTACAGGTGCATGCCACCATGCTAACTGGTTCTTAAATTTTTTGTAGAGACAAGGTCTCGCCATGTTATCAGGCTGGTCTTGAACTCCTGGCCTCATGGAATCCTCTCACCTAGGGCTCCCAAAGTGCTGGGATTACAGGCATGATAGGTTATGTTGTGATATGTAGGATGTATAGTTAGGAGGAGATGCTGATGAAGGGAGGGATTGGAGTGAACCGTTGGACTTTAACAGTATCAAGGACCTTAACAGTGTTACATATATATGTAACAATGCTATTTGTGATGCATGCTCTGAGAGAGGCTCAGAGGGCTATAATTGATCAGGTGAAAGAGAAGTAACTTTTTGCTAGGTTCATTATTAAGAATAACTTCCTAAAAGAGGTGACACTTGAAGTGATCCTTCAAAAATCACTAGGATCCCAATCAGTAAAGCCTTGGGCCAGAAGCAGAGACTCTCGGCAGTGGAAGCTGGATGATTTGTCAAGGGTGCCTGATCAGCAAGTTCAAGGTTTATTTGGCAAGCAATAAGAAGCCCAGTTTGGCTAGAGCTTAGAATGCTAGCCCATTAGTGCTGGACTCCAAAGGGCTTTGAATCCCCAAATAAGGAGCTAGAATTTTTTCCTTCGGGCTCTGGTAAGCTGTAGACTTTTCGAACATGAGGCTAGCTGGATCCAAGTATGGCTTTGAGATTAATTTGGAAGTAATGCACAGGATGGAACGAAGAGTGAAGAGATTGGAGAAAAGACCCGTTAGAAGAGCCTTTAACGAAGCTGCCTGTGGAAAGCAAGGAACAAATTAAATTACAAGCGATTTTATTTTTCCAAAGGAAGATGTATCTAAACCTGGTTTCCAACTGAATAGATGCAGGGAGGGTATGGAGAAGGACTTTAACAAAGACGCCTTTAAGATTTTGAGTAAAGAGGGGTGGTAGAAGTACCTTTAGCAGTGTAAGTAATAGGCTTAGGAGGAGACACTGATAAGGGAGAGATTAGAGTGAACTGCTGGACCTCAGCAGTGTCATTAATGGGGACAGGAGACGAGGTTAATCGGGGGTGAATTTGGAGAATAATAAGATAAGTGATTTGGGGGTCTTGCCTTCTGTATATACTATTTTTTTTTTTTTTTGGAAGACCGGAGTTTTATCATTACTGAAATCAGTCTCTGTATATATTTTTATATATGCATATCAAGATATAGATATGTAGAACTAGAATTTCAGAAAGAAGTTTTTAAAAAAAGTTGAGCCCAGCGATCCCTCAGTATCTATAGGGGATTTGTTCCAGGACCTCTGGAGGATACCAAAATCCACGCATGCTCAAGTCCCTTATATAAAATGGCCTAGGATTTGCATATAACCTTCACATATCCTTCTTTATAGTTTAAATCATCTCTAGATTACTTAGAATCCCTAATACAACATAACTGCTGTGTAAATAGTTGTTATATGGCGTTGTTTAGGGAATAGTGACATGAAAAAAAAAAAGTCTGTACATGTTTAGTGTAGATACAGTTTTTTTCCAAATGTCTTTGATCCAAGGTTGGTTTAATCTAAAACATGGAACCCTTGGATACGGATGGCTAACTGTATGTGGCAGTCGTTTGTCCAGAGAAAACCGTTGGCTAAAGAAAAGCAAAGGCAGAATCTTGAAAAATTCTGACATTTAGGAGACACAAAGAGTAACAAAACAGAGAGGCAACCACTGGAAGGGCCAGGATAGGACCAGGATATACAGTGCTCAGAAGCACGGAAGGAACAAGGAACAAGGAACAAGGAACAGAAGGTCTCTGAATTCAGTGGTTGTTGGTACCTTACAAAAATAATAGCCAGGTGTGGTGGTAGGCGCCTGTAGTCCCAGCTACTCGGGAGGCTGAGGCAGGGGTATCAGTTGAACTTAGGAGTTCAAGGCAGTACCACCCTACAACTGCACTCCTGCCTGGGCAACACAGCAAGATCCCCATCTGTAAAAAATAATAATAATATCATAGAGTATGAAGCCAAAGGGTTATAGAGTATGAGTTGCTGGTGAGAAAGTAGAGTTAGTGAATGTAAATTACCCTTTTGAGAAATTTAACAGAGAATAGAAGGAAACAAATCTGGAAATAGCAACTGGGAACAAAACTATATATATTAAAAATTGAGTCACTGAATTATTAAAGAAGGCATTTAAATTGGGAGGGAAGAAGACATGAGTTAAGCCATCTTGGGTAAAGAGCTGGTGTTAAAAATGTAGAATCCATCCTTCCTTTCTCTTCCTTCCCCCTGTCTTTGGCTGGTCTTCTGGCCTCAAATAGGCCTCCTGCCTCGGCCACCTAAATAGCTGGAATTATAGGTATGAGCATCCATGCCTAGCTGTTTTATTTTTAATAATCTTTGCAGAATATACTTTTATGCAAAACAATGAAAGCAGTTAACCACTTTACAAGTGTGTGACCTTGTGTTGGGTTTTGTGGTTCAGTAGATCATTTATTTCTATATTTGGGGGTCTGGGATCAGAAATCTCAGTTGTATAGGAGAATAGATTCCATTACTACAGCTTCTGTTTCCACCATCCGCTGTTAGTTCTTTAAGAACCAGAAGCATGTGGAGCTGTTCATTTTGACAAGTGTCTTCGCCAAGGTTAGGGCAATGTGACAGGCAAACAGTACTGATTTAAGAAAAAGAACATAGAATTTTGAATTAGGCCAATCTTTATTCAAATGATGAGTTTGCCATGCTTATTAGCTGTCTGACCTGAGGAAATTGACTTTACCTTATCCAAACTTCAATCTGTTTATCTCCTAACATAGAGTTATTAATATCTGTTAAATTATAATGTCCCTTCACAGGTTCAACAAATATTTATTGAGCGTCTTTGTCCCCACGCTGTTATGTGTGGGAATAAATGAAGCAGTGATACATGAAAGCCTGTAGCACAGGGCCTGGGAATGTTGGTTTCCTTCCCAGTTTCCCCAGCGTTAGTCCTAAAGACTGCTAATCACTTTAAGTAATGGTATGTTTTTGAAAGGAAAATAGAAAACCATTAGTTCTTTCTTCCCCAGACACCGGTCACTTCAGAGATAGTCATTGGCAGTTCTTGGTGTGTTTGTACTTGATTGGAACACCAACGCAGGAGAACAGTTACTGACATGGTAGCTGGACCCCTGACAGAACGCTCATGTGAGTCACCGGCAACCAGCCAAACTCCTGTCTCTCCTAACCTGCTCTCCAACCTAGACCCTCTGTGTGGAAAGAAAGTAGGAAGCATTGTTCCTACCTGGCAGGAGAGTTAAGGACCTTGACCATTCAAGAAGGCCCGCCGCTTCTCTAGTGCGGGGCTGTGTGAAGGAGAAAGAAGTACTCACTAGACCTGGGTTAGCCAGGGGCAGTGGTCAACAAATCAAGCTGGTCTGAGCCCCAGTGGCTTCTTGCCTATGACCCATTCCTGTTGGCAGATCTAGTTACAGAGGAGACATTGTCCTCAATACTCTCCACAGGGCCATGGAGCCATTATCCTCTGCCAAGAACCAGGATTCTTCTTTAATACACTCTTGCTAGTACCTACGCTGGGCATGGCTGGCCTTTGCTGGCCAGAGTCTGCGTGGATAACTAGAAAAGAGTCTGTACATGTTTACAGGCAGAACAACAGTCAAAAGTAAAACCTTGGAGAGATTTGATTTTATCTGTCATTGCTTTGACCCCATGATTGGAAGAGGGAAGTTATTGTCCCATGCTTGGTCCACCTCATTTTGTTCAAGTTCATCCGTCTTTTCCCAGTCTTCCTTCAACTTGGAACTAGGAACGCCACCTTCTGAGTCTCCAAAGACTTCCAGCAGGAGGGAAACTCAGTCACTGTCATGTAATGATAGAGTGTAATCCAAAGAGCAGGCTCTGTTGCCAGTGCAGACCTGAATTTAAAACCCAGTTCCACCACATTCTACTCTGGGTTCTTGGGCCAGTTACTTAACCTTTCTGAACCTTAATTTCTTTAACCCATAACATGAGGCTGCTATAAACCCAATAGTTGGGCAAGGGGGGTGATGAGTATGAGGGAGGATGACTTTAAGGAATTCATGAGATATGTATGTAAATTATTGTTAATTTCCAGTTCCCTTTTATTGGACCCTAGAATTACGTTAGTAAGTACATTTGTATCATCTAATTAAGACTTTAGCCTTAGAAGCCAGAATGCCTGCTTTGGCTCTAGGTTTTTCTAGTTATTTGACCTTTGAACATGCTATTTAGCCTCTCTGTATCTCAATCTTCCTATTATAAAATGGGAATAATAGTTCTACCCCATAGGGTTGTCATAAGGATTAACTGCATTGTTAATGCATAGAAAGCAATTTTAACACACTTTGGAACATATAGTAAGCAGTAGTGGTTGATTTGTGGTGTTGGTGGGTATGATGATGTTATGAGTTAAAAGCTCAAAATAATAACAGATTTTTTTTAGAAACATAATGACCAAGAGAGAAGATAATGGCAGTCTTCTTAATTAACTGCTTTCTTGCTAAAGCTCAAAGCACTTGAACAAAAACTTGATGAAAATAATTTGAAACAATGCTTGCAGTATCTCTGGGGACAGAAGAGACCTCTCTGGTCTGCGTCTTGACATTCAGGTCCTGCTTGGTGAAAGGTTCTGCCTCCAGTTAGAGTGTGTTCTTTTTGTAGCGCTCTCAGGTGTCTTGGGCCTGACTGAGGCGAGAGTGTTGACCTTTCTGAAATCCATCCTTGAGATCCTCTTGACTTCAAAAGCAGCTTTTCCAGGCTTGTTTTCCCCCTGGCCTGGTGCTGAAGCATCCTCATTACCCAGCTGTCACACTCAGTTGGCCTGATTGACCACAACCATTCCCGAACACATGCCTGACCTGCTCACCTCTGAGAAGCCTGGCTTTGGGGGTGGGGTGGAGGTAGGGAACCGGCCTCTCCCCTCCTCTAGTGGTGCTGTGCTGTACTGGCACTGAACTAGTTATTGCTAACAGTTCTGACATGGGAGTGACAAAAATGATGAAAATGATGAAGGCTGTCCTATGTGAACTTCAGCTTTCAGAGAAGAGCTTATGCACACTGACATAATTCCCAGAGATTGCCACTTATAGGCCCTCCGAAATGTTGGGTGAATGAATGGAGTGTTTATTGTTTGAAATCTGGCCCTGTCACCGTTTTTTGTCTTTCGTCCGTTTGTGAGCAAGATCTCTCCTCTGCCTTTTAAACTGCAATAAACCGAAGCTCAGATCCAAGTAGTTTTTTTTTTTTTTTTCTTTCCACCCTTTGCCTTCTTTTAGCTGGCATAGATGGGGTTAAGAATTGTTGGCAGCTAATCCACCTTGGTTTGAGGCCCTCTCACACTGAGCTGCAGGAATGACTGGAATTTGAGGGGGAGGGGAAAAGATATTCTGACCTTTGCAGGCCCATGGCCTCCAAGCAGCATCTCCGGTTCACGTTATCCCACTGAACTAATAGTCCAAGCACCCCCAGTTCACCTCTTTCAACCTTTCTCAGAACCTGGGAGGAGACTGTGGCTACTTGAGGCTTTTGGTTGATGTTGAACATCATATATTTTGCTGTTGTCTCTCAGCCTCTTGAACATTTTCTCTTTTCTCTCTGCCCCCATCCTTCTCATTCTGCTCAAACCCCTCCCTAAAACCTACAGGTCAGAGTGCATCAACAAGTTTGCTTCGGTCTTCGGGACCATGCCTCTCAAGGTGGTGGAGCACCGAGCTGACCCTGTCCTGTACAAAGATGACTTTCCCGAAAAACTGAAGAGCTTCCCCAACATTGGCAGCTTATGAAACGTGCCACTGGTGGAGGTGTGAATGGGAGGCTCGGATAGGGAGAGAACAAGGCCTGCCAGCACTCCGATGTCAGAGTAGTGGGTTAAGGGTGGAAGGCTGACCTACTTGGATCTCGGCACATACCCACCTAACCCACTTTCTCAAGAACAGAAACCTAGAAGGAATATCCAAGGACCTCGAGCTATGCCACCTCTGTTCTGTATTTTTTATGATCTCCGATGCGTTCTTCTAAAAAATGCCAAGTGGAAGCCTTTGCAGCATGCTCTAGGTTTAAATCCAGCTGAGGCTCCCTTTGTTTTCAGTTCCTGTATAACAATCTAGAAGGAAACTTCACAGGCTGTAAGACTGCTGGAGAAGAGAAACCTGTCAGCCTATGTTAGGTCTGGGGAATCATGTAAAAGGTGCCCGGAAGTCACTTTCAGTTGCTTACATCAGTGAGTTCTTTGGAGGAATAGCCAAGCCCAGAATTTGGTGCAAAACGCAGGCATCTTGGTGGGATTTGCTAAATGCCTTGGGACCCGGAGTGCCGGGACTGTTCACAGGAAGAGCACCAGCTGCTAAGTCAGGCTCCTGTCAGTTCCATGAACTGTTCCTCTTTGGTTTGGCTTTTTGATATAATTAAAATCATTTTTTATTCCTTTTTCTACTTGTCTTACACACCGATTCCTGATAGTCCAGGGAACCACCTTTCTCCTTTGGTATATTTAACTCCGTCTTTGGCCTAACAACAGGCATCAGCCTGTGTCTGGGAACCACTCCAGGAGGAATGGCTGGTGCTCTGTGCACCAAGCGTAAGAAGGTCCCAAATCGTAAACATTTTAAGAGCAGATGACTCAAAAACCTCCCGAGGAATCTTTTTGCTTCCTGATTAGATCCAGTCAATGTTTTATACGTATTGTCAGAGCAAAACAGAGGGTCTGTACTAGCCCTACAAGGAGTCACTCTAGCTGGTACCTGTAAAAGTTGTGGGAATGGTAACCCCCACCCCAAGGGGGTGCCCGAATTTCTCTCATTCTTTTGGTATAAACTTAACATTAGCCAGGGTGGCTCTGGCTAACGTTAAATGCTGCTGTACAACTGCTTTGCAACAGTTGCTGGTATATTTAAATCATTAGATTTCAGCATTTACTAGTTCTGCACATGTGTGAATTATACCTCTTTAAGCCCAGCTGATGAACAAATCTACCTTGGCAAATGTTAAATGTTATGGATTCGAAACAGATTTATCTGGCTCTAATATTAAGATTAGCCACAGTTTGGGCTTTAGCCATAACATGTGTCCCCAAAACACAAAATACATAACAATTTGCTTAGAATATGGATATAATTACAGAAACCTAGTTGTTATGCCAGTCAGCGACGCTCATACACCATCCATTGTTCTGCCGTGTGACGTGAAGGTAAGCAGTTATTATGCTGTAGTTTCATCAAGAGTCACTTCAGATGTGTGCCCCAGACTTTGAGAGGTCAGAAGATTTCAGAAGCAGCAAAGTTGGAGGTGGAAATCATAAGAGTTTTGTCTTCTTTCATATGAATGAGCGATCCAGTCATGGACTATTATTGCCAAGGGGACATGCGATCATCTCATCCAGTCTGTTCATTTTGCAAATGCAGAAACTGAAGCTGTGATTTTTTTCAGTGTCTGACAACAGCAAATACAGGTGCCTAACAAGTACTTTTGATTAGGGTAGTACGTACTGGTCAGTAGGAGACATGGGAAGCATTTTGGTCTCATATTCATAATATTGGGGATGATATGATAGAAAACAAGGAAAAAGGATTTCTGTTGTCACCCAGATACCAGAGGCTGACAAGAACAGTGAGGCCCTCTTACCTTTCTAGGGCTTTTCTAGTTTGTTCTCCAAGATGTGGGGCAGGTATAGCGGAGGGCCTAACATTGAAATCTCTGCTGAAAGCTATGGATTGTGCTGGCGTTGTGCATGTGTCGTATTGCCCTGGCTTCTTCAGATCTGTCTGCCCTTTGACTCATCACTGAAGGCACTACCTAAGTGGCTGGTTTCTAATGCAGCTTCTCTCCCAAAGGATACATTTTTCAATTTTTCTTTTTTAAAATCTTGATAGTCCTTTGATTTTAGAAAAGGAACTCTTTAATCAGAGTTCATTGTGAGCCCTAGAGAGCAGTGTGACTTTATCACCATCATAGGAGTCATTGGACTTTCAAGGCCTTACAACTCCATGTAAAGTGCCTCATTAATCCCAGGAATATTGGGGATTAGATCTTGCAACAAAGCATAAAACAATTTATGTTGAAGAAGGAACATTATATCCTAGGCATTTGAAACAACCTCAAAGATGACAATACCCTCCGAACAGATAGGCGGTACAGTCACGGTAGAAATTCGGGACAGGGTTATAGCAGGTGATGGTGACTCATGGATTCAGAATGGGCTAGAGACTCCACTTCCTTGCTGGTGTATTTCTGAGCTGCTCAACAGCAAACCTCACCCATAAGCTTAGGTCAGGATCGTCTGCCCTTGGGATGCCATAGAGCCTGGTTTCAGAAGCGGAACAATAATGCTAATTAAAATGTCATGTTCTGGCCTACAGCAGACAACAGCTGGTTTTAGATTAAGAAATCTTTTTAAAGAAATCACATCTTAACTGCCCTATAGACAGACGAACTTGAACTGGCCCTGGCCCAAGTGCACACTGAGCCACTGCCTTTGCCCCCAGGAACCTGACTGGGACGGGCCTGCTTGGAATGCAAGGGCTGAAAATACCTTTTTATTTTGCTGATTAACATTAGGTAGTTGTTAAAATGTTTATCTCATGTATTTTATGAACCCTCACACGTTTAGGCGTTAACCTCCTTTTCTGGGAGAATTAAAGAGGAAAACAGCAACTTTAGTTGTCAGAATCTCATATTCTTTCCTGCCAGCGATGCTCTGCTGTATCCTTTCTTTACTCAGTGTCGTTATGTCCAAAGCTCTGACTACCCTGGTTTCTCTGCCAAAGCCTCATCTGCTTCCAGCTGGGCTTTGAACTCGTGGTTTTTAAGTGCTAGTTTCTCTGCTGCCTTTGGAAAAAACTGACCGTCATGCTGGTCTGTGCTGACGTGGACTGGGAGTTGGAAGAGACAAACTCCCTCTTTGATCTCATTGGCCAAAGGTGTTGCTAATAACCCTGTGATCCCAGCTTCCTTCTAGGATGCGAGCCTCTGACAGGCACCATGCCAGCAAGGAAACTAGAGCATCTTTATCAACGAAAGATATCATGTTTCTAGCCACAGGTTCTGAAGTTGTGATTTGGGGTTAACATCCAAGAACCCCTGAGGGTTTTTAGCCAAGATAGTAATGAGAAAGTAGATGAAGCAGAGACTGGGTTTGGGAAGCAGTTGGGTTCTGGGAAGGCGCTTCCTGGCCCTGCAGTTAGGTCCTGTGGGGACCCAGCTGATAGGGCAAAGGCTTTGGGTGTTGGAGATTTCCCATCAGCCACGCATCCTGAGCCTGGTACGTTTCCTTTGCTTTGTAGCTTCTTTGGGGGTATTCTGCTTTTTCCATTTCTCTTGGCCCAGGTACTCTTCCATTGCAGCAAGAGAAGCCACAACGGGCTCTTCCCCAAGGAGCCCTGGCACGGAGAGGCAGAGCAGAGAATGCTAAACTCGCCCCATACCTCCTCCAGCCGCTTCCTGAGGAGCAGTTCTGGCAGGAGTGTTAACCATATTGGCAGCAACTTCCATCCAGAGAGACTTTGGAAGCAACTTAGCTTTCCACTGCAGGGCCTGAAGGCATATGAAACCTGTGGGGCCTGCCCCTACTCACCTTACCCCAGAGCTCTGGTCAAGCCCTGGAGCTTCTATGCTCAGCCTGTGTTTGGTACTCACCCACTTTCTACTTCTGAGTAAAGTCAAGGGCAGCATTTGGTCCCATTATACCAGCCACGCATCATTTGTGAACAGGCCTTATCAAGCTTATCTCGGCAGAGGAAAGTCAGGGAGGCAAGACCCACTCTAAATTTTAATGTTTCCCCTTCATTTTTAGGGTGGGAGCTGTGAGTTTATCTGAAGACTAGGTGAGGGCATTCTAAGCTGAAACCACAGCCTCTCTTCCACCTCCATTAAATGGACTGTTGGGGGCCGAGCACGGTGGCTTACGCCTGTAATCTCAGCACTTTGGGAGGCCGAGGCAGGTGGCCAACATGGTGAAACCTCATCTCTACTAAAAATATAAAAATTAACTGGGAATGGTGGCACACGCCTGTAGTCCCAGCTGCTTGGGAAGCTGAGGCAGGTAAATCGCTTGAACCCAGAGGCAGAGGTTGCAGTGAGCCGAGATTGTGTCACTGTACTCCAGCCTGGCGACAGAGCGAGACTCAGTCTCAAAAAAAAAAAAAAAAAAAAAAAAAAAAAAGGACTGTTAGGGATCCCCAGCTTCCCCACATTTCCTGGGAGGGTGTGTGGGTCTGTACAGGCAACCTTGTGTCATTTTTTAACATTTCTGGCTCTCCATTGCTGGCCACGGTGGGAAGATGACTAGACTAGAGAAAGTTTGGTCCCCTCTCCCAACTTTCCAGGCCTCTTTCCTTTTCAAGAAATAGTTGAATCACCAGCTTCTATATCTGGCATTTTGTTTCTTCACATTTGCAACCATTTCAGAGTAGAGGAGGTTTTTTTTTTTTTTTTGGAAACAGAGTCTCACTGTCTCATAGGCTGGAGTGCAGTGCCGTGACCATGGCTCACTGCTGCAACCTCAGACTCCTGAGCTCAAGCAATCTTCTCATCTCAGCCTTCCAAATATCTGGAACTAAAAGCGCACACCACCACACCTGGCTAAATTTTTTGTTTTTCTGTAGACATAGGGTCTTACTATATTGCCTAGGCTGGTCTCTAACTCCGGGGCTCAAGTGATCCTCCTGCTGCAGCATCCCAAAGTGTTGGGATTACAGGCATGAGCCACCGTGCCTGACCCAGGATAGCGCATTTTCCTTTCTTCTGCTCTCAATTGGTTGGACCACTGGTTGCATCTCTTTACACGCTCCCTGAAAAGCACAGAACTATCAGACAGAAGACAAGGTAGTTCTCAAGAGGTCCCAGGCAGCTGTGTCTGCAAGAGGCTTCCTCAGCAAAGCCCCATCTTGTCTATAATCTCTCAGGAACTGCACGTGGGTTGGGAGCAGCTGACAGAGCAGGGATCCATATATCTTACACCAAAGCCACCAGTCCTTGCCACCATATACAACCTTCCCTTTAGAATATATTTATCTGGACTTTTACTTACAGCTGCAAACATATCATTGGCTACTATACTCAAGCATCAACTCAAGGAACATTTGGTTTTCTGGTGACTACAGCTGAAGAACAACCAGCTAGTTACTGATCCAACTGAGGTAAGAGAACATGTATTCAGTCATTCTGTTATTCCAACTGTTCATTCTCTTATGATAATGTAGTCTTTGCCAGGCAGTGTGCTCGGCCCAGGAGATACAGCAATTAGAGCTGACTAAGACAGTATCCCTGTACTGCTCTTGAGATCCAGCTCTAGCGGGAGTTCTTGAGCTTGGTAAGATGGTGTGAGTCCATCTGTGTCCTTGGATTCTAAGCATGTATGTTTTAGTCCCAGCTGTAAATGAGGATTCCGTGAACCCCGTCTTCTCCAAGGTATGGAGGATGCAAGGAGTTTAAAATGT